TGGTTCTGCCAGAAGGCTGAGCTCCTGGGTTTGACTGCTGGCTTCTCCCTCCTTTGTTCTGGCACTGGAACTGCTGTCACTTCAGCTGGGTCGTGTTGTTGGTGCAGATCAATAGGGAGTGCAGTGCCTTTGCAGCTGCGTGGCTGAAGGCTGTGCACCCAGGGAGGAAAGGCAGCAACTCCAGTAACTCAGGGGACAGAGACTTCAAATTGAGTGACCAAAAATCACTGACAACGTTTGGCCTGAATTCCCTTTGTGTTTCAAAGCCCTGGGTGCAAGAGGAGGATGTTACTTCTTCATCTTGTAGGGACAGCATGAAGGTTTCTTAGTATTTCTGAAAAAGTTACAGCTACAGAAAAGCCAGTGAAGAAATGAACACGGTGTGACTCCACAGGCCTTGTGCAGAAGGTGTGGAAGTGCTGATGCTGAGCAGCTGTTGGGTGAACACTGTCCTACACCTTCCTTCCAGAATGCCTGTCTGGGTGGAAAACCAGCATTTTTGGGAACTGTCTATAAAGGTTGTGCAGCTGACACCAGACCAGGCACTGGTTAATTTTTGACCTTGGTGTTTTAAGGAGCTTTTGTGTCATTTCCTTTGTTGCTGTCCCTGCAGAGATGTCCAGGCCTCCAGCACCTCTGGACTCATCTCTGCTGGGGTGCTCAGGGATCTGGTCTGGGGATGCTGGAGAGTCTCCAGTGTCACTTCACGTGGAAGAACCGTGTATTTTCTAGTAGTGGCAGGTTCTTTTAACTCTTTCTTCTAAAGACTTTTCCTTCTCCTTTCACCTTCAGGTCCTGACTTTTCCCTGCCCGTGGTGTTCATCCATTTTTGGGGGGTACAGGATATAAATTATAAGCTGTAAATTCTGTCCATAATCTGGATCTCTGGTCCCAGATGACACTGGGATCCTTTCTTGCATGTAGTGTTTCTGAGTAGCCGGTCCCACTTCCATTGCTCTGCCTGCTTGTTTGGTCTCTCTCTTGGTCGCTCTCGTTCTGCTGTCCCCTGTGGAAGTTCCTGATTCTCCTGGGCTCCCAGATCAGACGTAACTTCCTGTGCTTCTCTGTGTTTCTCTTTCTCTCCCCTCATCCATCTCCTTATCCCAGTTTGTTTAATCAGCTGGTCCATGTTTTATGCATTACGTCAGCTTCATACCCCATCTTCAATCACAGAATCCCAGACTGGTTTGGGTTGGGAGGGACCTTAAAGCTCATCCAGTCCCAACCCCCCTGCCAGCAGCAGGGACACCTTCCACTAGACCAGGTTGCTCAAAGCCTCATCCAGCCTGGCCGAGAACACTTCCAGGTCTGTGACTTCTGCCATTTTCCCTTCCCAAACCCTTTCTTCCCTCCTTTGGCTTTTCCCCAACTCCATTCCCTGGTTCTTGTCTTTGTTGTATCCCACGTAGCTTCATCCTCCATAGCAGGCAAGACTGAAAAGTGGGGGGAATAGATTTCTGAGAGTGCTTCTTGGTCTTTTTCTGATCTTTAAACAGGGGGTGTGTGTATACACACGCATATATTTATAAATGCTGATTTCAGTGTATTCTGTTTCACGTATGAAAGCTGCCTTTCCATCAAAACTTAAGTTTCTGCTCTGAAACTTGGACATAAAATGTCTTAAGCCACTGGTGTTTGATAGGGAAACCAGTGAGTTCTCTAGTCTTGCTCTTTAGATACGAATGAGCCAGTCACGTTTGTATGGACAGAGCATTTTACACACGTGCTGGAAAATCCAGGTAAAGCTTGACAAAGTGAGGAGCATACTCAGTAATAAATTCATACATTGGGTGGCGTTGTAGTTGGCAGGATCTTTTGTCTTGTCTAATGAAAGTTACACAAGGACTCTTACCAGGATACTGGCGTGGCTTCAAATTGGTCTGCTGAGCAGAGAGTGGCAGCTTCTGTTTCCACGTGAAGCACATGGGTTGGGTCTTTTTGGGGGGGTTGGATTGGGGGGTTTTTTGTAAGTTTGTTTTGTTTTTTAACTTGGTTTCTTCCCACCAAATGTACATGGTAATCCTGAAGAACATCTCTTGCATAGACAATCTATTCACTCCAGCCTGACTTTAAATCAGTAATCATGTCTGTGTAAGTAGCAAAAATATCCCTAAAAAAAAACCCCAGACTTAATATTTAAGAAGCTGGTTGCACTGTGAGGGGATTTGGTAGGGTGAGTAGTTAGAAGTTACAATATGATGTCTGTGTAAGTAGCAGAAATATCCCTAAAAAAAACCCCAGACTTAATATTTAAGAAGCTGGTTGCACTGTGAGGGGATTTGGTAGGGTGAGTAGTTAGAAGTTACAATATGAAGATTGGATTTCCCTGTTGGTCTGCTGTATTTATTTCAGGGTCTGCTGTATTTATTTCAGGGTCTGCTGTATTTATTTCAGGGTCTGCTGTATTTTTTCAGGGTCTGCTGTATGTATTTCAGGGTCTGCTGTATGTATTTCAGGATGTTCAGGCACCAGCCTCAGTAAATCCCCGCGTGTCTCAGCGTCTGTTGGCACCATGACTGCATTTTTAAATGACTGATTTTTTCGATCTCTGAATTAGAATAATGCTGGCCTTTTTTTGGGGTAGCTGTTGAGAACATGCTGTTCTTGCTGAATGTCGCTCGACTGCAGCTTGGGTTTGAGAGTGAGTGGAAATAGATATTTTAAAGTGAAATTCAGTGCTGTCTGTTAAATGTCAGGCTGCACAAGCGTAGCCTGACGTGTTTCCAGTTGTTTCTGTAGATTCAGCTGTACAGTTGTGCTCATCTCTGCCCACAGTATCTCTGCTGTTCCACGTTCCCCTGTTACCACAGACTTTTTCAGAATGTTTGGAAATACTGTACTGCATTTATGTAATAAATAAATTCCTTTATTTTTTTAGAACTTAGGTTAGTATCCCATTCAGGTATGCCATAACTCCTTGATTTACTTTTCATTAAGATTTCACTCCTGTGATTGTGTTAAACAGTCTGCTAATGCTTCTGTGGGTTTTATACTTTTATGCAAATAGCTTAAGGCAGGGCAGCATTTTGGCAAGTTACTGTGTGTTCATAGATACAGAAAGAGCCAAGAGTTTCCATTTTTCTCTCTCTGCCATTTCTCACTGCAATGTTACTTTCCAATTTATTAAATCAGCAACATGTTGGGTAATGTGGATGTTTCTAATTTTAATGTTTTAAAAGCTGCAGCATGCTGGCTCCAATCTAATTTTTAACATCAGGTTAAATTTAAAGTATATTAAAGTGTGATCTGACAGACATTTAGGGCAGCTCTTGAGTTTGCTGGACTCGCATGTTGGGCTGAGCCTCTGCTCAGTGCTGGTGAAGGTTAGTTAGATTTTGGCATTTGCACTAACAAAAATAGATCCTGGATGTCTGTCTGGTTGGTGTCGAAGTCATTCTCCTTTCTCCTGAATTCAGTGCTTAAAGGCTCGATCAACGTTCTTCAGATCAAATGGTTTTGGCAGTGGGGTGTTATTTTGAACAGCCAGTCAGAGCTGTGTCTGGGCAACTAGTTAGTAAAGGCAGATCTTTGTCAGGAAGAACTAGTGAATGTTTTTCAGAGCTCCTTGGGGTTAATTCATACCTCTGGTACTTGAGGGCAGAACTGAACAGCACATGTACTTATTTAGGAATTGGGGTTTTGGGACTTGCTCCGGTACCTGCCCTGTGCCTTCTAGAGGCACCTTTTGACTCATCTGCTGCACAGTTGTCTCTGCATAACAATTTTTCTTGCTGTCTTTTAGTTCCTCCATCTGATTAAAGCAAATTCTGCACCATTTTCAGGATATATGGACTTTTGAAACTCATTTTCAGGATATAGGACTCTTGAGACTCCTTCTGGACCTTTCCTGGGCTGTTTCTGCCTCTGGTTTGGGGGGTTTGGTTTTGTTTCAGGGAAGTTGAGGGGAGGCACAGTGGTGTGGCCTATAATTCTTTCCTATTGTTGTAGGAAGTGGACAGTTTGGTTTTTGTTTTTGTTTTTAAAGTGACTCAAAACTTGTGCATTCTCTTTTGGATTTTCCATGTCTGGGGTTTTTCACGTAGCTCTGCTGACGGATGTTCATTTTGAGCTGTGGGGTAGGCACAGAGCTCTCTTGGAAAGAGGTCTGTGGTTTTTTTACTGATGGGTTGTTGAGGAGCTTTTCACCCATGAGTGAGGTTTCCACTGCAGTGTTGCCTCCATGAGCTTCTTGAGTTTCTTTGTGTTTGGTTCAGTGGCTGCTGACTGACAGACCCACGTCGAGCATCACACATCCCTTCAGGACGAGCTTGGCAGTGTCTGTCTGTGTGAGAAGGAACAGGGTGAAGTTTGGTCTGGAGGCTTTTATGAAATCGTGTTGATAAGTGAAATCATAGAATCCCAGACTGGTTTGGGTGGGAAGGGACCTTAAAGCTCATCCAGTCCCAACCCCCCTGCCATCAGCAGGGACACCTTCCACTAGACCAGGTTGCTCAAAGCCTCATCCAACCTGGCCTTCAACACTTCCAGGGAGGAGCAGCCACAACTTCCTTGGGCAACCTAGTGGTCCCACTTCCTTGGGAAATCATAGTGTTTTTTTAATCTTTACCTTCTTCATATCCTAATTTACCTTAATAAGTAATTTGGGGCATAAAACGACTGTTTTTGTTAACTTACACAGTACACGTGCTAGGTAACTTCTTACCTGTCTTGAGCAAAGTCTTTCTTCGTCTCCTCTTCTCACAGACAGGTCATGAAAACTAATTTGCATTTAGGTGACTGGTCCTAGATATATTGTGAATAACAGAATTAATGTCCAGTTACAAATGAGGCAGTAAAGCTATTTGTGCAATTTCACAGTGAATTGGCTGCGTTCGGTGTAATTTCCTGTCTGTGGTCGTGCAAAATGATCCTGAAATCATCGTCTGACTTTCTGGGTTGGTGAAAGTGGGGAGACGATAAAAGTTACAGATTTCACACTGTTTCAGACTTGCTGCCATCTCAATAATTTCATTCTTTCTTTGTTTCTTTTTCAGTGATTCTCCTTTGCCCGTTTCATCGCGTGTCTGTTTTGTAAAGTTCCATGATCCCGACTCGGCAGTTGTGGCCCAGCATCTGACAAACACTGTATTCGTTGACAGAGCCTTGATAGTCGTACCCTATGCTGAAGGTTTGTGAATTGTTTAATGACCTACGAAGCCACCCTGGGATGGCATTTTATTCCAGTATAGCTCACAAAAAATGAGAACTAGTCAAATGTCAGGTAGAAGATATTACCATTTTGAAACCCTTGGTATATTGCTATTGACCCACAGATTAATTAATAATTCTTATCTAGTGACACTGAATGAAAGTGGAAAGTTTCCCCTCTTATTGGTTTTGTGGGTCTTTAAGTTGACAATATGAACGTTTTAGGCAGAATTATTTGCAAATTTTGCTCTTTATCAGTCTCAGTGAGACATTTTCTTAAACAGACTTAATGCCAACGAGTCAACCTTGTAAGGAAACTTTGCCTTAATAATTACCACTTCCACATAGGCGTTAAATCTCTTCATGAGAATGGTTCCTCCTTCCTGAGAGGAGATGAACACTTCTGTGAGATGTGCTGCCACTGCATTTAGCTGGGGACTTCCCTGAAAAGGCACTGGCTCTCCTCGTGAAGTCCAGTATACCAAGGGTTTGAATAATTATGGTTTAATTTGAAAGTGAGATCTTCCAAGAGGTGCCAAATGGGCACTGGTACTAGTTTTTTATTCCTAGTTTTCTTGTTCATCCTTGATATATTTTACTAGAATTTCACTAAATAATAAACTCTTCTCTCTGTTATTTGTGTGTGTGATTTTTGTAGTGGAGAAGGCAAATGCAAAGCCCTTCCAGATGACTGAAAAACAGTGGGTCCTCTGCAGCTACAGGGGATTCTAGACATTAACTAAAGGCCAGCAAGCACTCAAGTCCCCAAGTGTTTTCCTGGTGTAACCACTTGTTAACTACATTTTCTCTTCTTCTTTTTATTTTTACATTTTAGGGTGTTACAGTAATTTGAAAGGCAATGAGCAGGGTTTTTGGAACTTACCTTAAAAACAAAGTGCTGAGAAGACACCTCTTCTTACAGAAGTCTTATTAAACTCTTCTAGACTTGCTTTAGAAGTAACTGATTTCCATTGTACTGTTTCTTGATTTACTTCTGAAATAATGGATTTTCCCAGATTGCTCGAATTAAATAAAGTCTCTGCAGGTGAAGTCATACTACAGTAATAAATTTGATACGTGGCCTGGGTTCAGACCTGTAATCAAGACGTTGTAATGCTGTAGGCTGTCTTTTGAGGCCTGGGGAGCTGTCTTACCTTTGTATTCCTTAAACTTAAAAAGATAATGAGAACTTAATTTGTGGAATTAAGGAGGAACCTGCAGCATGGCCTTTGATTGAGACGTGCTGCTTTTTCAGAGTACAGAACACATTCTGAAATTGCCATTGAGTTACTGCTTCTGCTTTTGCTACTTTAGGTACCATAGAGCAGTTGAAAGGCATCTTGTCCTCATCTTTGCACTAAAGCATGATAGAGCAGCAGTCCAGCTGAGTTAGTACCAAAATGTTCTCCAAGGCCCATGCTGAAGAACTTCAGTGGTTTAACTTTTCCAATAAGGATAAAAACATTTTTCTCTCTGTCAGTCTGACTTTGTCCATTGTGCTTGATGGTGGATAAATCTGGCACATAGAGAAATCTGGCCCAGTAGTTTTGGTTCAGATTGTGTAATAAAGAAAATAAAGATGAATAAAGGAGAATATCTTCATGGGCCTGTTTAAACCGAGGAGTTCCTCCTTGTGGTGTTGTAGCAGCTCAGAATGTCCATGTTTTTGGCACAATGCTTTGGCGTATCACAAGAGATATGTTCAGCCAATGGAGTTATGCCCCCTGGTTTTGTAACCATGTGCTTTTCTCCCTGTGCTGGGGTGCAGTGTTCCCCGGGAATGCCTACTGCCAGGGTCCCAATTCAACAAGCTATTTAAGCACGAAACAGCAAGATTCTTAAAACCACAGGGAAATTGCTCAGTGTGCTTAAAGCCAGGCATATGCTTAACTACTGTGCTGAACTGGGCCCTTTGATCTTTCATTTTCTGTTGTGATAACTCTGTATGAATATTGCCTGTGACTAAAGTGAATGTTTATTATCTGTTTAGTGCAATAATTATCCCCTATATCACAAGCGCACTCCAGTTTTAGCATACACAGACATTTTGGTGTTGGCTGTTGCTTTGTGTTATAGAACTATACACAAAGTCTACGGTAAGGTTTAGTATTTGTAATTTTCACTGTGATATTCCTAGATTTGGAAGGAACTCTTAAAGATTAAAGTTGGCTTGGGGGGGGTATTTAGGTTCTTTGGTTAATGTTTGTTTCTTTTGTCTGTTTCTTTTTCTTTCATTTCTACACATTCATGCAGTATTTCATGGTTCTAACAAAGCAGCAGTAAAAAAAGCTCTTGAAGCATGAAAATTAACTGGTGAGGGGCCTCATTGCTTTTTTTAAAATTGTAGTTTATTTATTTCTAAATACTTTTTAAAAAAAAAAAACAATTAGAGGATCGGATGCATGATTTTTTTTTTTTTAATGGATGCAGATCTTCTATGAGGTGTCTCAGGATAAGTCTGAGGATTTGTATTTAGATGCCAGAAATGTTGTAGTTGCACTAATTTGAAATGTTTAGCTGTAATTGATAAATATCCTCTGAGACATAATTTTGCATGCGAAATTACCCCATAATCTCTCTGTAGGTATGTTAATATATTTATGCATTCATGCCCTTTATCTAAATGACCTTCTTCCCCCCTCTCCCTCCATAACTTTGGGTATCTAAATTGGTGACAGCTCAATGACACAAGCAAGATAACAGTGCTGTGTATTATACATTTGTTTATATTATCGGCACTTCTCAGTATAGGTGGAAGGAACCATTACCTTTATTTAACAGTGGTTTTTCTTTTTTGTTGTTGTGTTTTACAGTTCTTTTCCCTGGTTCAGCCTGAACTATATACCAGGCCCTGCTGAAAATACCACCCAACAGTTTTCTTCTGCAGCTTATCCAGTTTCTCTTAAGTGCCCTGTACATATTGTATGTTTTATGATGAGATGCAGTTTCTTAATGTGTATTACAGAAACACTACTGGTATATTTGCAAATATATAGTAAAATTGTTTTATTGAACTCTCATTTTGGGGGCTTGGGCACATTAACAAATTAATCCATCTGTATAGGGCTTTTGCTGTTGGATAGAGTAAAAAAAAAAAAACCAAAAACCTACATAATTAACTTGTTTCGTAGTAGGACCCTTAAAATTATATGTGCAAAGCAGGCAGTAAGATAAGACACTTGTCTTAGTTGGCTGCAAGATTTTGGGCCAGAAGTTTCTTCTGACATGGCAGTGTGTAGCAGCATTCTTGGTACAATAAGCATGGCACATATTGGAACAAATGCATTTTGCTGCGCAGGTAAGGAATGTGCCAGGATGTACTGTACGTATGCACCCGCCCACCCACAGACACACCTACACACAGTGTAGTGGAAGATCTGCAGAGACTGTGGTTTTCATTTGACAAGTCAGCAAAAGCCCTACGCTTGATTCAACCAAAAATAAAAATATTTCCATACCTTCTCTTTTTAAGTTTTGCAAAATTTATATGGTAGGTGTAAAAGAAAACATAGTGAACTGTACCATATTATTAACCCCTAAATCAAACTTTTTTTGTCTTGTGTATCTTGATTTTTCTGTGTGCTTTATAGTGAAGCAGCCGACACGAGTCGTTGTTCATAAAACAGCTTTTGAAAGTTGAGAGCACACCCCTGGAGAACCGACTGTGCTTGCTTACGTTTGGTTCATGACTTAAAAATCGAGTACAGGTGATGAAATCTTGGCAGTGTTAACAAAAAAGTAGTGTGTATTGTGCTATTTTTTTTTTGCTCTAGAAACTTAACCATTTGTAGAGAAAAAGGAACAGTCAAATTTTCACACATTGAAGTTTCATTCTGACAAAAAAAAAAATTAATGATAAATATTAATAGACATCAAGCTTTGTATTTTAGCCAACATAAGTACTTTCAACAAACTCAGGTGGTGTATCAGGGAGACATTTTCTGGGTGTATTTGTGTATTTTCTGCCTTTGGAATGGAATGCTTTCTAATGCCAGGCTATTTCTCTGCAGGAGTTATTCCTGATGAGACTAAGGCTTTGTCTCTCTTGGCACCAGCTAATGCTGTGGCAGGTCTGCTGCCTGGAGGTGGACTCCTGCCCACTCCCAACCCACTTTCTCAGGTAAGCTCTCCAGTTAGGCTGAAGTCAAGGCAAACAATGAGATGCCTTCTGTCAGATCCTAACTTGCTTTCTCTTGTTTTGGGGTTTGTTTTCAGGAGAAACAGACTGATGTGCTAATGCTGATTCCTAGAATGTTTTAGTTTATATACCTTGGTGGATTGTTACAGCTCTGTGGTATGGATTGTGGCAAAATGGTGATAAGTTGCTAGATGGGAAACTTTTATTTCCCTAGTGTGATTCTTTTGGTATTTCAGGGGTCCTGTATTTACATCTCTCTCTCATCTCTTTTTTTTTTTTATCCATTGTACACTTACAAGCTGATCTGGCAAGCAGTAGAGATCTTGCAGATTTTAAATTTGTGAAGTTGGGTTGACATGCTCTGGAGACACCTTTCATTAATTGACCTTGTCAAGAGGTGTCAAGAGAATGGGGCCAGACTCAGTGACAGGACAAGGGGCAATGGGCACAAGCTGGAACACAGGAGGTTCCACTGAAACATGAGGAGAAACTTCTTTCCAGTGAGGGTGCCAGAGCCCTGGGACAGGCTGCCCAGGGAGGGTGTGGAGTCTCCATCTCTGGAGATGTTCCAGACCTGCCTGGATGCGGTAATACTCCAACTGGGTGGAAAAAATTGTAGCCTATTTGTTCATTATCTAAATACACAAGAAATCATGTGGAAGATGAACAGTAAGAATAATACCTTGTGGAAAAAGTTTCAGTTGAAGCATGTATCTTCTTAGAGAACAGAGAATCAGAGGAGGTAGAAGAGGCAAACTAATAAGAATAACAGTTCCTTAATTCTGCAGTTCTCAAATCGACTTCTTCAGCTTGTGCTTAGCTCTTCTTTGCGTAGGTTCTGTTGTGATTTATGATGGTATGAAAGATGTACTTGCTGTTGAGATGTTCAGAAGGTCCTTTTAACTCTATGTAGAGGGAAAAATCTAACTTTGAAACTGAGGAAAGGGATGGAAGAAACAAATACTGTCTTAAAGTTCTTTCACCAAAACCTGTATAGGATCATCGAATCATAGAACGTTGAGTTGGGAGGGACCCACCAGGATGCTGGAGTCCAACTCCTGTCCCTGCACAGGACAATCCCAACATTCACACCATGTCCCTGAGGGCACATGTTGGCCAAATGCTGCTGGAATCTTGTCAGGCTTGGTGCCATCAGCACCTCCCTGGGGAGCCTGTGCCAGTGCTCCACCACCCTCTGCCTCAAGAACCTTCTCCTCATGGCCAACCTCACCCTCCCCTGCCACATCTTCCTGCCATGTCCTCTGCTCCTGGCATTCGTTGGTGGCCAGAGAGAAGAGATCAGTGCCTGCCCCTCCTCTTCCCCTTGGGAGGAAGTTCCAGACCCCCATGAGATCTCCTCTCAGTCTCCTCTTCTCCAGGCTGAACAAACCAAGTGACTTCAGCCTCTCCTCACACCCTTCCCCTCTAAACCCTTCCCCAGTTTGGTGGCCCTATGTATGTATATCAGTTCCCAGAGATGGTTATTGAACCACCTTAATTTCAGTTCTGTCACTCTGAATCCCAGCTGACTCCCAATCCACTTCATGGCAGGATTCATGTGACACGTCCATTTTATGGAAAATTGTGGTTGGTGGTCTTTTTTTATTATTTTTTATTTTTTCCAAACATGAAAGCTCGTTGTGTAGCTCCTTTTGGTCATTGCTGGCAGTTGGGCATCTAACTCAGCAAAATGGACTGGAGCTGTAGTTTATGTTCACAAAATCAGTGTGTGGGAATGGGGCTTTTTCTTTGGAGACTGCAGGAGGAAGGAAGCCTGTGCGGCGTCGAGAGATCAGCCAACTGAAAAGCTCCTGTCAGAGAACGGCAGGTTGTGCTCCCTCCCTCTTGACTGCTTGCTCTTGCTGCTGCTTTTGTGCTGGCTCTGGAGCTCATCAGATCTTTTTGTGAAGTAGTGTGTTAGCTCGATGCAGACAGGGCAAAATTGAGTTTTCTGATGGCTCAGGGGGTTGGATTGGTTCTGAATGAATCTCGGGTGCCAGAGCAGTCGCAAAGGAGACGGGGAGAAGGGAAGAAGGGGAGAGCCAAGACCTCATAGCAACAGCACATCCTTTGGCCATGAGATCACTCAGGTTTTAGCACGGTGTGTGTTGTGTTTCAGTGTATACGTTGATCACCTCACCAAAATGGCCAAAAAATGAGCTTATTTTATCAGGCTTCTAGATTAATTTCTTCAGGAATTCAGACCTGTGCCAACATCTTCCTTCCAGTCACTTCTCAACCCATTTGCCAGTTTTAATTTCAGAAACTTGCAGAAATGTAGTAATATTATAGAATCATAGACTGGTTTGGGTTGGAAGGGACCTTAAAGCTCATCCAGTCCCAACCCCCCTGCCATCAGCAGGGACACCTTCCACTAGACCAGGTTGCTCAAAGCCTCATCCAGCCTGGCCGAGAACACTTCCAGGGAGGAGCAGCCACAGCTTCTCTGGCCAACCTGGGACACTGTCTCTCCACCCTCACAGTGAAGAACTTCTTTCAGTCCTAAATTGATTCAGGTATGAGGTGGTTGGCTCAGAAACTTACAATTAATTTTCATTTTAACTCTGGAAAATAATTTTAATCATTTTAAACTATAAAATAATAATTTTAAACTATTTCTTGAATATATTGGAAAGCTTTCCTTTTTAACTTTTTTTTCCCTAACCGTTGGGATGCAGAGGAAACAGCATTTCATTTTAGAATATTTATAGGGAAAAGAAATCTTTCCTATATTGAGCTTTGAAATACCTGAATAAGGAAAACTGAAATGCTCTCACTGACCTGACTGTAGTATTTCCTGTAGCTAGAAGTCTAAGCCACTTCAAGTTTCCACATCTAATGCTGGGGAATCTTGGGATTGAAGAGCTTTCCCTCAGCTGAATGTGGCTTTGTCTAATTAACTGTCTTCGTTACAGATTGGTGCTGTTCCTTTAGCTGCTCTAGGAGCTCCTGCTCTTGATCCTGCCCTAGCTGCTCTCGGGCTGCCAGGAGCAAACTTAAACTCTCAGGTATGTCCCACGTTCTGAAATGTTTATTGCTGTCCCTAGCACATGCGTAGGTTGAGTAGCGTGTGTGGTGCTCTTGGTGTTCACCAGGGTGTTAAATAACAAGTTGAAGAGCTGGAAATGCTGTACTTAGCTTTGAAGAAACATTAACAAAATACTACTTTTTATTAAAGGCTTGACTCAGTGCACAGGCTGCTGGCTCTTCAAATGTCTTAGAGTGGTGCCAGAATGCACTCTTTGCTTCTTGGCACAGCTGGTTTATATGTGAACACTTTTCTTGTGCTACCCTCTTTTCTATTTTAAAAGTAATTTGCATTTATATCAGTTTAACAGCCATTGTCTGAAAAATCCAGTGATTGATTTTTTGATTGATTTTTCTGAACACCTGTTTGAAGGAATAGTATCTGTAGGAGTATCAAATGAAATGCTGGAAGGACCTGAAAAATAATTTCTGACTAGTAATGAAATGTTTCAAATATCTGTCCTTACCAAGCTCTGAATCAGTCTTGTACTTACAGTAAAAAAAAAAAAAGACATTTTAATTTTGAAATAGAAAGAGAATAGAAAATAGAATATAATAGAAATATAATAGAAATATAATAGAAATATAATAGAAATATAATAGAAATATAATAGAAATATAATAGAAATATAATAGAAATATAATAGAAATATAATAGAAATATAATAGAAATATAATAGAAATATAATAGAAATATAATAGAAATATAATAGAAATATAATAGAAATATAATAGAAATATAATAGAAATATAATAGAAATATAATAGAAATATAATAGAAATATAATAGAAATATAATAGAAATATAATAGAAATATAATAGAAATATAATAGAAATATAATAGAAATATAATAGAAATATAATAGAAATATAATAGAAATATAATAGAAATATAATAGAAATATAATAGAAATATAATAGAAATATAATAGAAATATAATAGAAATATAATAGAAATATAATAGAAATATAATAGAAATATAATAGAAATATAATAGAAATATAATAGAAATATAATAGAAATATAATAGAAATATAATAGAAATATAATAGAATATAATAGAATATAATAGAATATAATAGAAAATACTGTGGACACTTTGTTAGACTGTAGTCATCTTAAAACTGAATTAAAAAAAGACTTTAAGTACTAAGTAATAGTGAGTAGAATTTTGAGTTAGCATTTAAGATATAAGAACCAAATGCTGCACAGAGAGGATGTTTTACAGGTGGAAGAGGTAGTAATAATTTAATGCATTCCTAAGAAATCCATCATTTAGCATTCTCTTTATGCATGCCACGTGTAGTAACAATCAAATAATAGTGACAATGGAATAAGAAATGGGAAAGATGAGCATTCTAAATGCATATTGGAAAAATCAGAATTTGGTTTGATGAAGGATTGCTGCCTTTGTCGAGCCAGCGGATTGTAACAAACTGTCTGGGTTCAGCACCTGGCTGCCTTTGTGTAAGAAAATTAGTGGGGACTAAACATTTTGTTCTTAATACATCACTGGTATGGCAAGTGGGTGATTATGATATCTGGATTTTCACAAGAGCTGTAATTTTTATTTTTTTTCTGGAATTTTTAGACTAAAGAAGCTTTTGCTTTTCATAAATGGACATTGAGGGCTTCTCATGAACAGGCAACTTAGATCTCTAATGAGGTCTCGATTCTCTTGAAGTAACAGAGAAATAACCTGTAAAGACCAGGAGTGTATTTTTATTTGACAGTGGTTTGATTCTGTCCAGGAAAAGGCCTGTGTTTGCCTGCTGTGGAAAAACAAGCACCTGAGCACCCCTGAGATGTGATGTTTGCACCCTCCCCACCATCCTCGAGTGCTAAAACAGAACAATGTGCCTTTTTAGCTGTAACTTGTTTGGGGTGTGTTTTAGTTTGTTTTTTTTCATCTGTGGAGACTTTTTGCTTTACCCTTTAGAGGATCCATTCAAGGAAGATCATCTCCTTAAGCATATAACATCTTCCAACGTGGTTTTATTTAACTTTTGTTTTTTTCCCCTCACAGTCTCTTGCAGCAGATCAGCTACTGAAACTTATGAGCACAGTGGATCCAAAGTAAGCATCAGCATTTACAAATATTTGTATTGCAATACACGTGGTTTTGGGATTATCTGTTGTGATTCAGTAGCCAGTCTTTATCCTGCTGGATCTAATTAAGGCTAGAGAAAACTATAGTGTCTTTGGGATCTTGTGCAGACTTTTCTGTGGTAGAGAGGAGAGGGGGAAGAAATCAGGAGTATGCAGCCTTGCATCTACGGAATAATGCCAGTTAATCTCTGGGATTTCATTTTGGTAGAGACAGAACTTCAGTTTTTTGTCTATGTCATTTTTGTCACTTCTGTGTCCATCATGGAAAGGGGCAACTAGCACCTTACATCCTGCAGGGATGAGATGGAAGGGCTGGGGTTGAGAATGAGCCGAGACCAGGAGCTGTTGGAAAAGACAATAATTAAAGAGTCTATGTACGTTACAGCTGTCGGAGGATAACAAAAGGCAGCATGGCTTAGTACTTGGTAGAGAAAGGGGGCAAATAAGAGTAAGCACAAGTATTTGCTAGTTCAGGAATTCAGTATTCAGAAAAAGGATAATGTTGTTCAAAATAATAAGGCATGGGGAGGGACAGCAAGGAGGGAAGGAGTGTAGCACCAAATGGATTAGTGTGGTAAGAGCATATACTGGAAAAAAGCTATTAGACTAATTAGTGAATGACAAGTGTACAAAATGCAAAGAAACCACATCTGCCTCAGAAAGCCCTTGCACTGCAAATTGCAGGAAGCTTTGGAGAGAATTCTTCCAACTCTCAGCTTCAGGAAAGCATATCTGTGTGCTTGCCCTGCTGCTGCATTAGCTCAGTTCTTCTAGTCCTGTTTGGCTGTTCCAGTGTTTTTAAATTGTCAGGAACCTCGATCTGTAGCAGGGGATAAAGCTGTCTGTGTGATCTTTGTTTTCAGGACTGTTCTGGCATATTATTCTCTGTTTTAAGTTATCATTTCTGTAAGCAGGGAATGCATAACTGATTGGAAAAAATAGTTACCCGAGATAATGCAGGGGGTAAAAACCAGTCAGGTGTGTATTGGGTGTCCCTGTGTAGCTTGTATGAATCAGGGATCTGAGTTTCTGCTGTGTCATCCACTGTGTCCTGTGGACTTGCTCTTTCAGGTGATGAGATTTGAAATTGTGTTGTACAGAAATGTTTGGGAAAGTGTCACTAGAAACATCCCAGTGCAAGACAGTACAAACTTCCCTGCTATTTACAGTTTACTGGGATGCCCAGGGCTGTATGTGCCACCATTTTCAGTGCAGATCTCACATCTTAGACTTTACTGCTCCGTTATCTGGATGGTGACAGTTCTGATTCCCTCAGATGAGTCATTTTGAAGAGGCTGCAGGCTAACAGAGGAGGCGTGCGTGTCTTGGGTTAAGCCACACTGAATTTTTAACATTCTTTTTTTTTATCTGCTAGGTTGAACCATGTAGCTGCAGGTCTTGTTTCACCAAGTCTGAAATCAGATACCTCCAGTAAAGAAATAGAAGAAGCTATGAAAAGAGTACGAGAAGCACAGTCACTAATTTCTGCTGCTATAGAGCCAGGTAATTTTGAATCGTAGAACACCTCATTGATTTCAAAATGGAGCTTTGATAAAAGCCAGTGCTCTGCAAAATACTGGCTTCATGCTTTCATGTTCTCTAGTGACTTAATTTATAGTTGACAGGCTTTTAATTGCCCTACAGTGTGAATGTTGCATGTGTCCTGCAGAATGATGCGGGGAGTTAATCATATGTTGTTGTTTTTCCCCCAAATCACATGATTTCAAGATTACAAAATGCTTGAGCTTCCCCTCATGGAAGTTCATGCTGCCATCTCTGAGACTTGATTGGAAACAGCAAGTGGCTGAACCACTTGACAACCTCATGGTGTTTGTTCTTGGGGATGATTTCCTTTCTTCTCATGCCTAATCTGGAAGCTTGTAAATAAATCTCTTTTTATGTAGCTTATTTCAGTAGATTTTATTTTAGAACAAGGTGCAGCCGTTCATCCACAAATCTCAGATCCACCAAATCTGAGAAGCAGTAACTTTGAGCACTGAAAATACAGTTTTACAGCCTCCTGATCATTTTCAGGAAATAATAGAGCTCCTGTTCTTTTATTATACCAGAAAAATGTGCTGATTATTTTGCTTGAGGCTTTTTGTGGGAAATTCAAAGCAATAATTTGAGAGAATCTTTAGCCCTTCACCCAATGTCAGAGATAGTGAGATTTTTAACAAGACTTCCCATTGCCCTGCAGCTGTCATCTTTTAACTGACTTAATTTTGTCAGGAAATTTTGACTTCTTCAGTTTTACATGAAACTTTTATGTTGGTTTTATGTCACATGTATGTCTTTGTCATGTGTTCACTCTTTGCCTCATCTTTTGAGGGAAAGGATAGATAAACCTCAATTTCAAATGTTAAAATATTCCTCAGGTTTTCTTTATCTTATTTATATCTATAACATGAAGCTCAATTTCCTTTCCTTTAGAAAATCTTCTTGAATATTAAAATAACATTGGGTTTTGGTTTTTTTTTTTTTACCATGCTTTTCCTTTTTAACTCCAGACAAAAAAGATGAGAAACGAAGGCATTCAAGGTCAAGGTCACGCTCAAGGAGGAGGAGGACACCTTCTTCATCTAGACACAGGTAGTTAACGTATTTACTTATAAAAAACCCCAAAACCAGACATGAATGAATTGGGTGAAAGAATTTCTTCAAAAACACTTGTTGGAGGCTGACAGAATGTCTGAAGAAAGCCGAGGCTGTCGTTTGGTTAGACTGGAGTGTGAGATGCAGACCTGCCTCTGCTTTTGTGGAAGGGCTGGGAGAATGATGATGGCAAAAAAATACCTAAAAAATCCTTAAACTGCTGCAGAAAGAGGTTCAGACCAACGAGTCCCTGCAGTGTCTGGACTCTGATTTTATTGAACAAGAAATTGTTTCTTGTATCAGATCAGGAACAGCTGAGCACAGAGCCTTGGTTTCACACAGCCCTCACTACTGTGAACACCTGAGCCATCGCGCGCTGTCCATTTTACACTAGGTCCTTAAACCTCTGCTCCTTCTTCAGGCTCTTTCCCATGTGCTCAGCTGGCAGTTGGGATTTGCTCTTACAACCATCTGAGCACTCTTATTGATGAACCTTAAACGTTTATTTGTTGGGCTGTTTGTTTCTAGTATGTGCAGGAAATTCAGCTGAGTGGAATCAGCTGGGACAAAAGTTTCTCCAGCATTTTCTAGGTTATGATTTAGAATCCCAGACTGGTTTGGGTTGGAAGGGACCTTAAAGCTCCTCCAGTCCCAACCCCCCTGCCAGCAGCAGGGACACCTTCCACTAGACCAGGTTGCTCAAAGCCTCATCCAACCTGGCCTTCAACACTTCCAGGGAGGAGCAGCCACAGCTTCTCTGGCCAACCTGGGACACTGTCTCACCACCCTCACACCAAAGAATTTCTTCCTCACATCTCAGCTCCATCTCCCCTCTGCCACTTTCAAGCCATCACCCCTTGTTCTGTCACTAAGTGCCCTTAGGGAGATCGGGTACCTGACTGGAGATCTTGATATCGTCCTACCCAGACAGAAGCACATTTGGCTGATTTATGCTGTTGTCTTGTCAGCTCTAATTAATTAGTGCAGGGCTGGGGTCTGTGCAGAGTGTTTTAACTGCAGCTTGCCCAGTTGTGCTTCTCTGCTGTTTGCATATTCAGTACTTGGCTTTTATTTGGCTTAGTGTTCTAAAAACTTGATGTTTCAATGTGACTTACCACTTGTCCACAATAGGACTGATGTTTTCTGACAAGGAGGGCAGTGAGAGAGCTGCTGGAAGCATCGTTGTTCTTTCACACCCAGCTGTTGTGCATTTCCTTTTTCCATTCCCTTGCTTTACTCAGTGTGACTCCTTCGCTGTCTTTTCTCTGTCGTGCATTACAACACTGTTCACACTGAGCAGATGGGTTCTGAATAGTACCTCACAAGTTAATATTGTAACTCCCATGTACCATGTGTTACTGGTAGACGGTCAAGAAGCAGATCGAGGAGAAGGTCCCATTCAAAATCAAGAAGCAGGAGGCGATCTAAAAGTCCACGGCGAAGAAGATCTCATTCCAGAGAGAGAAGCAGAAGGTCTAGGAGCACGTCCAAAACCAGGTAACGCAACTGAGTCAGTAAAGCTATTATTTGCTATAAATTTAATTAACAAATTACTACATTTTGGTGCTTAATTAAAAACAAGCAAACTAAAAGACCAACCAAACAAAAACCCTAGGGCAAAACGAAGCAGTGGCTCTTTGTAAAGTCACAGTCTCTTGTAGCATCTTACAGAGTTATATTGCACCTGCCTGATGTGTGTGCACAGTTAGTTACATAAAAACAGGTAACGTGCTTTTCTGTGGGTCAGGAGAGGCAGGAGGTGTCAGCTGGATCACTCAGGAGCTGTCTTTGGAAAGCAGGAAATGTGAGAGGCTGGACTAGCAGGTTTTGTGCTGCTCATACACAGAAGCTGTAAAATAACTGTTCTTTTATTTCGCTGTGGGTAACTGTGATCTTTGTTTCTATTAATATGTGACTGGCCCCTGAAATACCAAACAGCACGCGCTCTCCAGTGTGGTTCTCATGTCTTCATTCCTTTTCCTTCCTGGCAAAAGTAGTGAATGCTGCTTTGAAAATTACTTAAACTTTACTGTTCTTTACTAAAAGGGATAAAAAGAAGGAAGAGAAAGAGAAGAAACGTTCTAAAACTCCCCCCAAAAGCTACAGCACAACCAGACGATCACGAAGCACAAGCAGGTACGGTGACACGCCGGTTTTCCTGGGGCTCTGCTTCCAGTGGGCTTTGTCCAGGGCACCAGAACATTCCTGTGTGCAACAGGATGGTGACTCTGTTGTGGATCATGTGATATCTGCACAGGTGCATGTGTACTCACTACCTCTGTCTGTAAGATGCTCTGGTTTTTTCCCCAATACTATAATTTTCTGGAGGTATTCTTTGAGCTCAGAGTAGTTTCCACTTGCTCTGTATCAAGGAGAGTGTGATGCTTTGAGGTCATTGCTAAACTCTTCCCTGCTTTATGGAATAAGTACAAGCAAAATACAATAAATGCAAGGTTCTTTTTAAAAAAAATTCCAGGATTAACTTTATTAACAAGAACAAACTGGTTTGTTTCCATTTGCAAAAAGAGTCAGGGTCCCTAATACAGCCTAAGCTGGTGAGTTCTGAAGGTAGAGGTGGAACAGGAAACAACTCGCTGTGCAGATCAGCAGCTGTGGGGTGGGGGCTTTGCTGTCCTGCTAATAGTAAATATCCATCTGCAGCTACACCTGTGTCCTGTCTTCTGAGCAGTGCTGCTTTTGGAGGGAGAGGTGTATTTGTAGCTTAAAAACAAACAAACAAGAACAAACCAACCAACCAAAAAATACCAACCAAACAGCTTTGATCTGTCTTTCCTGCAGAGAAAGGCGACGTAGAAGAAGCAGGAGTGGATCACGGTCACCTAAAAAACCCAGATCTCCTAAAAGGAAAATGTCTCGGTCCCCATCTCCAAGAAGGTCAGTAAACATCTTGGCTTTAAAAAAAAATTCCCAAGATGTGAACTGTGGCAAAGATGCCATTGGGGTTGTTTTGGAGATGGTGTGTTTGGCTTGTTCTCACGCCTTGCCCGTAGGTTGGCTGCTTGAGAGAGAGAGAGTGAATCTCTGCCACCACTTTTATCTCAACTGAACTGGCTTCAAGTGTAGAGCTTCTGTTAGTGCCCAGGAGCTCCCAACATGAGCTGTTCCAGGGGTGAGGAGCAGGAGGTGCCCAAGTTCCTGGCCCACTTGGCTCTGTACGATATCAAATATCAAATGACTTTTGGGTGGACTTGGGTGTTTTGTGATCCTCCCTCTCTAACGAGGAGCTTGGGCTGCTCCTTCAAGGGCAGTTAGTGACAAAACAAGGGGAAATGGGTTTAAGCTGAAAGAGGGGAGGTTTAGATTAGATATTAGGAAGAAGTTCTTCACTGTGAGGGTGGTGAGACAGTGTCCCAGGTTGTCCAGAGAAGCTGTGGCTGCTCCTCCCTGGAAGTGTTGAAGGCCAGGCTGGATGAGGCTTTGAGCAACCTGGTCTAGTGGAAGGTGTCCCTGCTGCTGGCAGGGGGATTGGGACTGGATGAGCTTTAAGGTCCCTTCCAACCCAACCCAGTCTGGGATTCTATGATTCATCAAACACCATAGTGTTGCTTTTCTTAACACGGCGTTTCCTGGCGTTTGCTTTGTGGTGGGGTGTGATGTGGAGCTGAGGAGTGGGGCTGTTTGGTTCCTGAAGGCAATGGTGCCTCTCAGGTGCTCGCTGCTGTTTCTGCCTTTAGCTGTGTAACGAACTCGGGGTCACAGTCTGGGCACGGTCTGTGTTCTCCTCACCAGATGGTGACACTGTGGTTCTCATTCTTCTACAAACTCTATCGTTGTAGGCATAAAAAGGAAAAAAAGAAGGATAAAGACAAGGAGAGAAGTAGGGACGAGAGGGAGCGGTCGACAAGCAAGAAAAAAAAAAGCAAAGACAAAGAGAAGGATCGGGAACGAAAATCCGAGAGTGACAAGGACGTGAAAGTATGTCCAGAAACCTGCCCGGCTCCCCCCGCCCCGCGGCGCCGGCCTCGCGCCGACGGGCTGCGGCAGCAAAGTCTTACTCTCATTTGTGTGGTTTTTTTTATCTTGGCAAAGCAGGTCACAAGGGATTATGATGAAGAAGAACAAGGATACGACAGCGAGAAGGAGAAAAAGGAAGAAAAGAAAATGGGAGATTCTTCCTCCCCTAAAGGAAAGGAGTCGGGCGCTGATAAGGGCAGCGGAGACTCAGCGCGGGAGTCCAAGGTGAACGGGGACGACCATCACGAGGAGGACATGGACATGAGTGACTGACTGTCGCCTTCGCAGTGAGCACGGCTGCAGACGTGCATCGGTGTCATTCCTCTGTGATTCTTTTATGCTGTACTTGTTAATCCTAAATCTAGATGTATCCAGCTCTGAGCTATACATGGTTTGTAAATCCCCCGATTACTAACTCACCTCCAAAGCTTTCTAGGAAGGAAACATCCTCGTCACGGCCGGAAGGGATCGCGTAGCCAATGCCCATTTGGGTTTTTTTTTTTTTTTACTAACTTGGTGATGATGCTTCAAGCAAAAAAAAAAAAGTGAGAAAGCTGCATGCACCTCCAGCAGGCATGGACCGTGTGTCGTATGATCTCCCGTAGCCCATCAGCTCACTCCCGGTAGCGTTTCTAGACCGTGGTTCCTGCA